TGCTAATTGGCCATTAGCGTGTGCCGGTGCCGTAGGACGAGGGCTGAGATGTGGCATCCCCGACCCGGCGTCCCCAAGGGGCTGGGGGATGGATGCTCCGGGGACTGAGGTGGCGGCGAAAGGACTGTTTGCAAACTCCACCTCTCTCCATCCACGTCCACTGACGAGTGCCGCGCTGGACTGCCAAAAATTAGATGACCTTTGGGATGTGGCTTCGGTGCAAATACCTCTTAGATGGTTCACAACAATAGGAACGAGGACAAAGTCGAAACAGATTTGTTCCAGGAGGCTGGTGCCGTGATTCACGGGGGAAAAATGTGCTCGGAGAAAGAGGGGGTGAAGCCGGCGGCTGTTGTGGCCCTCCAAAAAATCTTGGGCACGCGTGAGCCCTGCAAACGCACCGCGATCACCGGCTTAAATTTAGGTGTTTGAAAGGACAGACTGTTCTTGCACAGCGCTTTCCCCATCACCTTTCTGTTCACATGAGCCACCCACACAGAAACCAAAATGAACAAGGAGAAAATAGACGCAGCATCTGCCTGCCGGCCGTGTGCCCCCCCAGCAGCCCTGGTGCCCCCGCAAGTGACCCCCCCCCTCGCTCTGCCACAGGGCCGGGAGCCCCCGGGATGCTCTGCAGTCCCCGACGGAGGGACGAAGTCTCGGGTGGCTCCCAGATCCGAGGGGAAGTGCTCGGGAAGCAGGTGGTCCCTCGCAGAGTCATGCTGGCTCTGTGCCGTGGGTGCCGCTGCCGGAGGGCCGGGAAAGGAGGCACAAGCCTAATTTTCAGCCTGGCTTCTGCCTCGCCGATGGGACCCTGATGTGGAAAGGCGATGGTGCTGCCAAGCCGGCAGGAGGGACCCTTGAACCTTTCCCTTCTGCTGCTGGTCCCTGCCTTCAAATTTTTCCCAAATGAGTTTTCCCAAATTATTTTTTCCCGCGCAAACATTCACAGGTCCTTTTCTTTCCCATCCTGTCGGAGTGGCAGCGAGGGGATGGGCACAGAGCCTCCAGAGCTGGGGCTGCTGCCGGGAGGGCAGCCAGGGATGCTCCGGCAACGGGCGAGATCAACGTGTCGGACCGTCCCGGGCTTTTGCACATCAGCCGTGCGGGGCTGGTTTTGGGGCTGGGCAGGGGGATTTCAGCCCTGGCACGTCCTGCAAGGGATGGGTTACAACCCCAGCGCAAACTTTTGGGAGCCGGAGCCGCCTTCCCACCTCTCTCTGAACCAGTTTTGCCACCCGCCTAGAGAAATTACGGCGCTCTCCCCAGCTCTCACCGGTGGCAGAGAGCTGCCAGCGCCAGCGGATGGAGCGGCATTCATCACAGAGGGCAGGGTCACCCCGAAAGCTGGGAGCACACATTCATCATCCAGGCGCTTGGGCGGCGTCTGACCCCATCAGTGGCGAGGAGGAGGCGTTTGGGCTAATCAGCCCCTCCGAGGCCCGGGGAGGGGGAAACGGAGCCAGTTCCCCAAAGGTTTGCAGCGGGGTCATCCTCTGCAGCCCATCTCGGCGCCGGTGGCCTCGGTGGCGACGGCAGGGCAGGGGAGCCCCGGCCGGGGCTGATAAAGGCACACCCTTCCAGCGGCAGCTGGGGGACAAGATGTCCCCAGGCGTCACGGGCTGCTCGCCGAGATCTCGGCCGGCTCAGCTCACCCGCCACTGCGAGCCGGGCTGCTTCGCCGGGGCTCCCGGGGCTTTCGCTGGGGCTTATTTTCATTTCCCCGATAAAATTCCCTCCCTTGCAGCGGAGGAAGGTGAACGGCACCAGCCGCCCCAGGAGCGAGCAAAAGTGTCGGCCATCTGTGTTTTTATAAGGGCGTTTATTGACTCACGCGAGGGCTGGATGTCAAAACGGGCGCCAGCGCCGGCCTCAGGCTTCACGCACGAGTCAACGTTTGCACGGTAGCTGGGGGCGAGGCGTTGAAAGGCGAGGCGTTGGCCGGAGAGAAGAGTCCCCCCGCTTTTGGGCCGGTGACGCTGGGCGGGATGGGCTGGGGGGGGCCCCACGGGCCGCCCCGGCACCTGCTCCATCAGCAAAGCTCAGCTCCGGGGGCGGCTGTGCCGGGTCCTTCCTCTGCACCGCGCTGGGGGTTTATCCACCAGCCGGCGACGCTGCTGCCGCCGCTCAAAGAACGCACCGGCTCCCATCCCCGTGCCGTGCTGGGGTGCCCCGGGGTGCTCCCCCCCGCCTCCCGCACCGTCCCCCTCTTCCAGCCAGTTATTCGGAGCCTCCGTCCCCTGTCCCGGGCCGTCCGCCAGCACGATGGACCTGCGGGAGCAGAGGCGGGCGATGGAGCCGCGGGGCCCCGGTCACCTCCCTGCGCCGTAAAACCATCCCCAGCCGTGTCCCCCCAGCTTCGCCCGTGGGCTCCGGGGTCGGGGGCTGGGGGCTGCAGCCCCCGCGGGAGGCCCGGCTGCCCTCCCCGGCGCGGGCGATGGGGCCGGAGGAAGCTGTGGTCGGCAGCTCCTGGCTGGCAGGGCGCACGTTTGCGTTAGTCACCACAAAATAATATTGTGATTGTTCATGCAAAACATATCGTAAATGAGGCTGCCGGGGTTTGGGGTTTTGTTGTTTTTTTTTTTTTCTTGTTTTTTTTTTTTTCTTCCACAGTAAAATTGGGTGCTGCCAGGCTGACACTGATTGCCGGGGGCCGCTGGCCTCCCTCCTGCCCCGGGACACCGGCACCGCACGGCAGCCGGGGCAGACGCCATGGACCCACAGCCTCACGGCGAGGTGGGGAGCAGGGGGTGGCAGTGG